TGTTCAATTTCTGGATAGCAGCCATCAGAACGCCACATAGTAGCGCCTGCAGGCCAGCCTGGTCGTCATGAATGCTGCTTGGATTCTCAATCAGAGTCTTTATGCTCTGCTCCAGGCGCTCAAGCACCACGGGAAGACGTAGCATAATGTGTTCATTCACCTCATCAGCGCCTGCTTGCACGAGCACGTTTAAAGCCTCATACGCCGATCCCCGTAGGTTGCTCTCCGTCGCATTCGACCGGTTACTAGTCTCGAGAAGCTTGTCAAATAGCGTCTTGAAGTAAGGAGTTAGCATGTGCGCCGCCGCTTCCGACTCTTCAAAAGCCTTCACAATGTTGTGAATCGCGTAGCAAACATTGTGAGATACACGCGGCTCTTGGTCCAAACCCTCCAGCAGCAGCTGCATGAGACCAGGAAGCATCTCGCCACTGATGCATCCGTAGTGCAACTCGCAGATACGTCCAAGTGTCCATGCTGTTGTATCACGTACTAGAATATTGTCAAACTTCATGCACCCCATCAAAAATCCAAGCGCCTGGCGCACAAGCGGAGCAATTTTTGCTGATTCAGGTCCATCTAGAATCGAGCCAAATGCCATAATGGCAGCCTCTTTGGCGCGCCATTCGGTGCTCTCAATGTTTTGTGTAATAAACGTCATGGTGATGTCCACACATTCATCGCCGACGACCTGAGCCACCAGTGCAAGACACGTGGCAGCAGCCATTGACAAATTCCAGGAGTCTTCATCCTGATCATCTTCTTGCTTTGTCAATGTTGCGGTTAGAATAGGAATGAGTGTATGCAATACGGTCAGCACATAATAATTGCACATAATATAGTCGGAGCGATTTTCCAACAAAACGTAATTCCTATCCTCTATCAGGTCCAGCTCTACATCACACATTGACGACCAGAACTCAAGTGACTGCAAGCCAACCTCATCTTGATCGCTCGTGATGGCATTAAATGTCAATTTGCATATCGTGTCCATGTATTCGGCTAAATATTCGTAATACATGGTTGCAATGGCAGCAATACACTCATAAGCGACAACGCGAGTTCGAAGGTCTTGAGATTGTGTGGCTTCGCATATTTTTTGCATTAAATGGTCGCGCTCTTGCTTGCGCTTGAAATTTTCACTGACAAACTCTAGACTGTTTCGCAGGGCCGTTACGGCCGCAAGACGAATGGGTGACGGACGATCGGCACGTATACCATCCACAATGGCTGTAAGAATACGATTGGTATCTTGCTCATCGATAGCGCCATCCTCAAGCTCATCACAAAGGTAACCAAGACACTCGAGCGTAGCGTGAATACAACCCTCACTTCCACTGGTCACATTCTGAAGTAAAGACTCTAGTAGCGTCGGCCATTTCTTAGCAGGTAGCTCGATACCACCAAGTTTAGCCACCAGTTGGGCACTGGTGTGTCTTGCCACGGGGTCACTGGATTGCAACACACGAAGTGAACCATCTCTGATTTGAGTGCGAAGAGCTGGGTCCATAGCCATCCACGCGTTAATTTTCTGCTGTTGCAAGACGTCATCTTTAGCGTCTAGAACGTTCTTGAGGTACAGACCGGCAGCTTGACGACCCACTACAGCAAATTCCTCAGAGGCTAGAGCTTGAACTAGCGTCACCATAAATTGACCCATTTGCTGCTGCAACGCATTGTTCAGGAATTCCTCTGCCTGCTTACGTAGCTGCACATCTATTCATGTCCAGCATACAGTAAGATTATAATGCCAATTTTCGTTCAACATTGAACGTACCAGGACTTTGCGTACTGAGTAGGGCGGCTGAAATGTCCATAGAGTTCTACACTGTGGATATACGCTGGGGGTGTGGGGGGCGGAACGGGAATGGTTGGGAAAAGGCGGCTATTTGGAAAATATACACTAATTTACGATTGGCTGAGTTGGTGATGAGAAATGGGTCGGGTGACAACGAAAATGTCAAACATCACAGAAACTAATAGTTGGTACAAGTATATATATCGAGGGCCGGGTTTGCTTCTATTGGCCCGTGAGGGTATGACAGCCCAAAGTAGACTTCAATCAAATTAATGCACAATATGTATATAGCACTGAAGTTAATTATTTAATTAGGTCATCTTGCGGCAAGATTGATTGTCTTCAAAAATCTTGAGGCTTGGTTTGCACTCACCAGCCGCGTGTATAATATCACAAAGTAAATGATGCACCCACTTGCCTTCTTGAACTGCTAAACTTAACGCTATGTATTCCGCTTCGCTAGTTGACAGTGACACGCTCAACTGCTTTTTGTTTCCCCAACTGACTGACCCACGCCTGATCTTAAGTCTGTTTGCCAAGGACTCACAGCCATGGCATCCATCCTTGGAATGTTCGGCCGAGCAAGTCGGGTGCTGTTGCTATTGCGAGTAATTGCTGAGCCTGCTCCAAAGAGCTTAAAGCTGCTATCTCATCTGCGCCATCCTCACCAGTACTTGCTGCATTGACAAGAGAGTAATATTTGTTGAGATGCTGTTTTATGTGAGGGTTCTGTGACAATTCCTGCTTTAGCAGCAAAGCAGGAGACACACCCTCTAACTTTCGACGAGCAATTGCAATCTTAACATTAGGCAGCCAAGCAGTCGTCAAATTACCGGTAGCTGGTAGTGTAGAGGCTTTTTTTCTACTTTGTGACTCACGAGTGGGTGCAAAAGTCTCCACATCCTTCATTACCGCGTTGCTGTCGTGCGACGTGTGCAAATCGACGTTTACGATTTTCTTGAACAACACTTTTTGTTTTATTTTAATTGATTGCTGCCAATCCAGCAGCGGGTCGTGTAAAAAGACATTCATCACGCTTTCAACAACTTGTCGTTTTGAGCGCAGAGCATCAAATACAGTTTGCATTTCCCGTGCGAGAAGACTGGGCCCGTCATACGGCTGAAATACAAAATTCATCTGTCTCGTGTATCTGAAAGGAATCAATTCTGGAACTGGAAGAACGCTTGCGCCGGCACCAAAACTTACACCAAAATCGATTCCGATGACACGGCCACTGCCGAGATCAAGCAGGAAATTGTCCAAATGACGGTCGCCAATTCCCAGTACGTACGAACAGGCGCTGAACACAGCTAGTGACTTCAGAAAGTTGTCACGAACAAGAAAAAAGACATCAGATGTTGAGCCCAATTTAAGCAGTTGACGCCGTAGTAGGTCTGGTGGGATCATCGCGTGAACTTTCGCAAAGTGATCTACAACGTCTTCCGACCGAGAAGCAACCACCTTAGCGCTATAGGTTGCACCCCGCTGCTCTAAAAGAAATGACTCATAAGCCTTTGCTGCTGTCGTATTAAACAAGTCCAGCTTCTGGCTGTTGTTGCTTTTAAGACCGACGCAACGTTCGTCAATCTGCAGTTGTGCCTCAACAAGTCCTTTGAGTGTCGATGTGCCATCAATCCACTCCAATAAACCAATTTCTTGCGTCATGGGAATCACGTTGTAAGTAGTTAAGGAAAGTTTTTGATCGCGGCACCGCGGATCTGCTTTAAATATTTGATTCATGACGTCAAAAAGCTGCTCAATGCGCTGGTCAAGACGCAAGTCTTCGCCACCCTTGACCAGAAAAGTGTAATTCTTCTCATCACTACAATGTGCTGTCAGTTTTTTCGGTAATTGCTTTGAGGCTAGTACACCAAGCATCGAGTCAAAACTTAAGATTCGAACGTGTGTCGCTGGGTCCGGCGGACCCCAATCTGCAACATAAAAAAATACGAAATAACAAGATCGTTAAAGACACATATTAGATGCTGCTGTGGGTAGGATGCAGTTACAGCTTACGTGACGTGTACTGCCCTGGGAGCTCCAGAATACAGCTCGAGTGGTCGAATTCCTGTAGCCACTCTGCAAAGTCACCCAGATGCGCTTTCATATCTTTGGTGATACCATATCTGCCAGGTGTGACGCTAAAATGGTTATTAATCCATTCTCGGGCAGCAGACACAGTTTTTGCTGTCATTTTTAACCCGTCCTTGCCCATTATTTTTTCAACGTCTCGCTTTGCAACTCGGCTCCATTCACGGTTGTATCGACCGATTTGAGCACCAAGGAGCTGACGCTGTGGTGAAAAACAGTCCCTCCACAAAAGCTCTACCGTTTGGCGCGCATCCGACGTCCTATTCTCATCCAGTAAATTTGCAATTTTACGCAGTCCTTCCTTTAGACGGAGCTCAGGATGGTGTATTCTGTCGAATCCAAATGAATGAACATCAGTTGTGTTCAGAACTCAAACACATTTTAAGAATAATTATCCGAGTTTAAGCTTACAATCCCAGGGCGGCTACAAATTTTTCCATGACTGGATTGGCCAGCAGAACCTCTAAACGACGTAAGTCCACTTTAAATATGTCTCGCGACGACCTACACGTGACCATAAAATCATAAAAGAGCGCGACGGGGTATCTTTCAGCCAACTACACAATACAAAAAAGGAGGTAAGATATCGAACAATTGTAGACACATATACTCAAGAACAAACTTTTTCAAGAATCGCAACAATGGTCATTCCAATATCTCCGTTTAGCAATGCCATAAGCTGGGCTGACCACTGTAGACAAGTCCAAAGCGGGACATCCGTCAGAACACACTGTTTACATTCTGCAACAATGTCCGGGTAAGGCGAAACTACATCACATAATCCAGGAAAGTAGTTTGCACATTCGCGATCTCCAGCAGCCATTCCCCGCAAAACATTCTCAGCTAACAGCTTTATCAATACTTTAGAATCAGCAAAGTTAGCTAGCTTTTCCAATTGTCGTTTGTAAAGTAAGTCGTTAAGAAATTCTATGTAAGTTAATCGGCATCTCAAGAATGCAGGTGGAGCGTCGTCTTGAGATTGTTTGCTAAGAACAGCATCAATGCGCCGGCAAGAATCCTTGAACCTGTCTAATGAGCGATAAAAAAATTTTTTGCTTAAATCGTCGTCTAAGTCGTTAAAAGCGTAAAATGCCGCAGCTTTTGCAAAGGTCTTCGCCTCCAGATAACCCACTGCAACTTGATCCCTTGCAGTTGCTATCTTCATCATGTGCATAATTTCCACGTTGTTAAACAATTTTGTTGCCGTCTCGTAGTATTTCGTAATAAGTTTGATCGAGGTCGAATCGCTTGATTTATGCTCCTGGCGATCAATCAACTTGAGCACGTGGGATACAAACACCTCTATCATCCGCACATTTAGTTTAGGAAGTTGATGAGTGTTGCACAACTCACGATAAATTTTCAGCACTTTTGATGCCAATGATAAAATATTGCATGATACCGCTGCATTTGCATACTGTAGCAAAGCATGGCCCTTGATCCCTAGAACGACCAAACGGATTTCATTTGAGAGCACCCCTTGATCGTGCGCTCGGTTTAGCATCAAGCTAGTAATCGCGTTCTGTACCATGGTATGCTGTGACCAAAGAACCATGCCCTCTTCCCCTGTGAAAGGAGGCTTTTGCTTCCATTCGTTTACAAAACCGAAGTGGTTCTCATTCTTGCAGATATCTGAACCATCTTCATTTAAGCGAATAAGAGCTTCGTCAATCTCCACTATCAACGACAATGATTGCAGTAATTCCATGCGGGAAATTGTTGCCATTGGACTTGTCTGTCTCCAAATTTTTAGAAAATTCAAGTAGAAATTTTCCACACAGACTCGTGTCTGATTCTTGTCACCCGATGCCAAGTAAGCTAAGCATAATTCGACAGAAAATTTTGACTGAATCAGCTTAACTTTGGCTGAATCACGCACCGCATCTCCAATAAAATTTTGAAGACTTTCGAGAAGGTCGTTTGATGGAGAAGCCTCCAACAGTCCAAGACATGAGCGCAAATAATGTCCGACACCTTGCTCCAGATACGGTGGACGCTGCTTCCACAGATAATTTGTGTCTGCATTAGCTGCTTCAGTTATCTCCGAGTTCAGCGCGTGCCAGCTATTGAGCGTCTCCATACAGTTGAGCCGCTGCCATCGACATCGCATGGCATCATTTTTAGCGATGACGAAGTCATCTCCATCCAGTAGTTCCATTTGCAATCTCAGTGTACTTTCAGCTTTCTTGTATGCTGCTATCGCAAGCGGAAGATCTCCAGATAATTGCTCTTGTAATGCTCTTTTGGAATCAGCATTTGTACTGCATGCCAATGACAAGGCTACAAGAAAATCACGCTTGTGCAATGTGCTCAGCAATTTGTGAAGAAGGTCCCAGCATTCTGTCAAAGATTCGTTTGATTTTAGTTTCATATTCCCGGCCATAAGCTGGGTTTCGTAAATTAGTAGTTCTTCTAGCGCCAGCTGACTGACGTGATGATTCCCACTAGCTAAACCAGCGTCCCCAATCGTCTTCGGTCGAAGTACAAAAATATTGAAAAGGCTTGGGTGCCTAATCATGCTGGCAACATATGCTGAGACAATACAGCCAACATATACAGAAGATGCTTTAGAGAGTGTTAGCGTCCCCTCAATTTTTTCTGTTAGCTCATCAACGATTCCAGATTTTTCAAATTCATTGGTTGCCACAATCGATGAGAATAATTCGTCAAACAGCAAACTCGAAGTTTCCACGGAAACCTCGCAGAGAGCCATGATGGGATCCACAATATCTTGCTGTGTAATTTGAATGTCAGGAAATTCACCGGCACGGTAGGCTCTTTTGATTCGCACGTGCTCTTGATGCCGTTCTCGGGTCATCTTTGCCAAATCATGCTTCTTCAGCATAGCATACTTGTCTTGATAGAACCGCTTTGAAAGCTTTTTGTCATTAATCGACTTGTCTTCTACCGCTGAGCTATCTGCAAAGTTTCGTCGCGTAGAAAATCGATTTTGCCGTAAATCAAACGTTGGATCAACAATAGATTGGCGATAGCTTGATTTAAGCCTGACAGATGCTGCATATCAAGAGAAAGATGTAGTCATCAAATTTAGGCAGAATCTGAGCAAAAAAATCTTAAATTTTACCTTGAGGGGAGAAAATTAGCTGCGACTGCATCGTATCACGTAAACTTTTATCAGATTCAGATAAAGCAGTGTTATTTCGGCAACTAGGTTGCTGCGTCGACTGTAGGCGTTTCCAGAATTTATCCGCCTCAACAGAAAAGAGAGGCGCCATCGACTGCGCTTTTGCTTCCCAACTTGCGTCAATTTGAGTAGTTGTATATTCACCGCCACCCAACGAGATTTTAAAAAGCGGTTGCTTGAACTCATTGCACTCTTTGGATAATCCAAGAAGAATGTTGGTGGCATATAATATCCAATTTTCATCGAGTTCAGACGAGTGCAATGAACCGAAAATCGAAAGTAGCCGATCAAAACAGGATTTTTTAATAGATGCAAAATTACTCCAAAAATTATAAGCTTCGTTTCGGAGTATTTCATCAGGATCACACAACCCATGGAGTAGAGAAATTCGCACTTTCAACTTCCCCGGATCAGAAATGTCCTTGTGGTATAAATTCTTGGCTATGGAGAATAGCAGGCCGCGGCATACTGAAAGAGCATGCCCTTGATAGTATCTAAACAAATCAAAACCTCCTTCAGAGGTACTTGCCACCAGACGATTCAGTTCTGACATGGTTAAATGATCTAACAGTCGTGTTATAGCACGAAGAGTACTAATTTGCACTCCAGAATGCCGGTGGGCAACAAAGCGGCCAAGCACGGACTGCACATGAGTGAATATGTCTTTAACGACACCATCATTTCCACATGCATTGTATACGGTATCTGCTGCTAACAAAGCCCATGCATCGACTGAAACAGCTTTTGACAACACAGATGACAAACGCTGGAGCATTATTGAGTCGACAATTGTTGCCTGATGTATCGATACATTACGAAGGATCGCTAGAAAGTACCCAATTTCTTCTGAAGTGTACGAATCTGCGATCAATTTTTTCAGATTGCACAAAAAACATTTACTGGTCGCTTGATCCATGGTCAGCAGATAAAGTCCACCGACTTCGGCTGCAAGTGTATATAAAGAGGTTACTTTAGTGGTCATGCACAACAAAATTCCATCCTCGATTGTTTGATTGGCAACCTCAGCTTGTAATTCGCTTTTGAGTCCAGCGACCAACATCGCACTTACGATCTGGAGGGCTACAAATTTCCTTGCGTATTTAATTTTTGTATCTTCGTCGCCAGACATCATAAAGGTAATCAGTTCGCGCACATTAATGTACGTGGCATCTTTCCATAAGGCTATCAACTCGGTCACGAGTAATACATTACTGTCACGAACCAAATTATTTCGATCCGGACAAAGCTTGACAAGCGTATTGACAAATCGGCTGGTAGTGGTGTCGAGCGACGACACAACAACATCTTTCCAAGAATTAAGCACAAGGTTGCAGCAGTCACGCAAAATGTAGTTAAACTCAGAAACCTTTTGTACCGCACTCACATCAAGAAGAGCTTTCATTACTGCGGGCAGCCATAACGATGAATATGTCGAAAATACGCTTGGAACATTAAGCACCACTTTCGCCAAAAATAATCGAATATTTAAACCTGTTGATAGGTCGACTATGACATCAAAAATCCTTTGCATCCATCCAGGCATCACTTTTGCATTCCAATTGGAACCAAATTCCGTCTTCATCTGCACAAGCACACGTAGTAATGGTATCATGCATGGGTGCTGGTTAATTTTATCTAGCTCGATCTCGATATCTTGGTATAAAGAAGCACCGCGATTGATATCTGGAGGTTCAGTCACAGTGGAAGCCGTAAGCGTCACAGCATCCATACTCAAGCTGCTATTCGTATAGAACTGTAGGGCAGCAGAGTTGTTGCGCTTTGTTCTTACGTTCTCTAGAACGTCAACCTCATATCTTTGTTTGAGAGAAACGGTTGACAAGCTTGACAAAGGTATAGTAACGAAGTTTTCTGTCTCGGCGCGCAGCTCGTACTCAAGCGCGGAGTCCACGAGATTGCTCCAGAGTGCTGACTGGAACAAAATCTGATCATAAAGCTTTTCCTGCTTTTGAGTCTGGGAAATGGCGGCAAGCAGACAATTGTATGCTGCGCAGCAAGCCAAACGAACCAGATCGTCAGCTTCCAAGTAAATTTTCGTTACTACCTTGCTCGCACATTTGCATACAAGCATCGTAAGTTCTCGACCCTTGCCGCTCTTGTGACCAAGAAATGCTGAATTGATTTTAGATCGAATGATGTCAGGGTCTACTAGTCGATACAAAATTTCCACCAGCGAAAATGCTACGACCGTCCCGATTCGACTTTCCTCGAAGGCACCCTCAGCTGATGCTGATATTAAGGTTGCGAGTAGGCTAATAATGGTTGACTTTCTTTTTTCGTTCTCCATCATGTAAAAATGCAGCAGTATTTCACCAGTTTGACACTCAACAAAAGGAGTGAATACTTCCTCCAAAAGAATTTTGCGAATGGCAACATCCACGTTAGGGTCTAACAGCAAATCCAGCAGCTCCGCCATCTGACGTTGTATCATTTCACTGCTTGCCACACTCCCATTCAGCACACCACTGCTAAGCGAGAGCGAAAATCTTGCAAGCATCTGCTTGATCTCAACGCGAAAAAGGTGAGATTCTGCCTCTTTTAAACTTGGGTAGATGACCTTGAGATATGCGATTGATTTACTTTGCTCAACAACATGCAAAACTTCGGTAAACAGCATGTGAAAAACATCGAAGTCTCTTGAACCACGCGAAACATCAACAGATACGATAGGGAACTCGTCAAAAACAAAGGCGATCAGCGCGTTCAAAATCGGATCGGAGGGTTGTCGTTCTTTGGTGGCTAGAATTGAGGACGGTCCCAGCAAACCCAGTATCTGCAATAAATCAGCTTTCACTAGATAGCTACACCCACGCTGCTTAAGCAATAATGAGCAAGCATTTTGAATATCTAAAATAGGCCCAAGTCGTAGAGCTTCGACATAAGTTGATGAACAATTTTGGCTTAATTCCACAAAATGCTTAAGAATTTGTAAGAGCGACAGCGCCGGCTGCGTTTCCCGCTTGACAGTCTCTAACTTGTTGATGAACTGTTTGACTGCTGCCACAAGCGTTGCTGTAAACGCATCCCATTCGGCGGACTTACGCAAATACACCTTAGAGCAAGCAACTTGGCGAAGAATATCGATCAACACATTGACAACGAAGTCATTCTCGAGAGACAAAGAGACAAGCTTGCTAGCGCACCTCTTCCACACCGCAAGTGTAGGCAACATATGAATAACATCACTGTAAATTGATGCATACATCCGCCGATCAGCAGATTTTAGAAAAATATCTGTAATATTCCATTCACTGGCAGCTGCGGCCTGAAGTGCTGCAACCACAACAAGCCGGTCCTGGGGAGAGCCGTGTCCATACTCAACGATTTTGCGTGCTACCAGCGCAAAAATTTCTGCGTAGTTGTCAGCTGCAGAAGATTTGACAAGTTCAGCACTTAATACCTGCGGATAAATTAACATATGTCAAAACACGTATTTCTTCTTATAAACAACAATGAGCAGATACCTTGCTTCCAAAAAGTGTCAGAGATGTTATAGTATCAGAGTGGTCGGATAAACTTTCGCTGCTGGATACGTCAGCGAGGCTTTGATGTAGCTTTATAAGCATACGATCGATCATCTTCTGCATCTGATGTGCCCATTGCGGGCTGTGCATTGTCACATACGAGCAAAATTCCTCAATTGCGCGAAATGAACTTGCGTTATGAAGCTGTAGATCAGCCCGATGAAACAGAACCTCAACAAGCTTTCCAACAACAGAGTCTCGTAAGGACTGATTATCCAAATCCAAAGTTTCGCGTAGCAATATATTGCCGTGGCTCATGATTGCCTTCACAAAATTGCATAACGAAACCAAAACAGACAGGTATGCTTCGGTCCAGCGAGATCGCTTCGATCGATAATTCCGTGAGCCATCGCAATTCAAAAAGGTAAGAATAGCCCATGAAAGAGTCTGCTGGCAATTGTTCTCGTTTGTGTCACTCACCTCAGCAGTATGCTTTCGCTTTACACTTTTTTTTTTGGAATGTGATCCGCATATTTCGAAAATGCCTCTTGTTTTATCGCCGAGCATTTCAACGACCCAAACGTAGTTTTCGATACATGCTGAAAGCTGTTCCAACCAATCAACCGTAATAACTGTGTGTGCGAGAGCACTCAGAGGTACCATTACGGCCAAGATTGATTTACGCTCCTGAACCGTTTCATAATTATGCATCCATTCGGTAGTCGACGTACTGATCAGCGCACTGAACGACAAGAAAATTCGTCGGCACAGCCGACGGAATGACTGTTCGCGAGCGCCAGTTTGCTGGAATAGCCATTGTGTCATTTGATGAAGAGTGTAGTCGTTGTCAATGCTGTAAGTGGTTGAACTATCGCTTAAAAAGAGGTGAGGAAATCGACAAATCCCGCGTTCAATTTTCATCACAGCATTTAGCATAATTTCACGCGCTACATCATCTCCACCGATCTGATATTGGGCATCACTGTCACACAAGCGTAACGCATACAACAGATTTTTTAGACAGGGCATTGCAAATCGCGTCAATGCCTCTCCATCTTCTTCTCTCAGACTTTGTAGAAAATAGCTAATCGAGACTGCAGCACCACTACGTTGAACAGATCCTGGATGTCGACACAGTGAAAAGACTCTGTTGAAGATATAATGAGCCTTAATTTGTGGCAAGCGAGTATCCACAGCGAGCGATAGTTGTGTTGCAATACATCGAGCAGAGAGCGTGCGAACAGCAGCTTCAGAGTCTGACATGCTGCGCGTAAGCTCATCCAGCATGCTTGAATACTCAAACGGGTATGTGTCACTATTGATGGCGAGCCAGCGGAGTAGCTGGAATAGTAAAGGCTCAAAAAGTGACCTACATATTTTTTCAGAATCTGAAGCTAATCGCACAACCCGAGCAAATACTTCACGCCACAAATCGTAAAAATCGGTCTTCGTTCCGGCTGTATGCGGATGCGTAGCTGTTTTTCCGCATAAGTAGCAGATCATGGCATGATAGCTCTCACATGCGCTGACTTTCACGCGCCGAACAGAACTCTGAGATGCCAAGTTTCCGAGATGAGATAACACTGAATCTAACGCCAGCGATAAGGGAGTCTCGCTTAACCGGAGCTCTAAGCGAAAATGCGGCGAAAATATGCCTCCCACGATACCGCTGGCGGTAATCAGAGAGGAGGGCTCGCTCACAAGGAGCAAAATATTACCATCACATCGTCCTAAAAGTAGAAGCAAACGACGTTGCACTTGCGCGAGATCAGAGGCTTCGTCCGAACCCGTGGCTTTCACACCTTGTAAGGTCGCTTTATCAAGCAGGTGCTCTCTCTCGCCGAGCTTTTCTTGATTAAGATATGCCGAGATAAGAGGAATGATATCACAAATCACATCATTAAGCTCGTTTGGACGCTGCTTCTGCCACCGTTCTAATGCCGCAATAGCCACGACAGCGGCGGGAATAAAGGATCTGCCAAGATCTAACATCGATTTAACAATACCGACCATAGCATGGATAGCTACGAGTCCAAGTGGAGCTGTCAGGACAAACTCAGAGCTCGTCAAACGAAGCTCATCTTGGTAAAATCGGGCTTGAGAACTTACTTGTTGGACACAAGAAGTGAAGTCATTTCGAAATCGGGTCTGTTCAGTTGTGTCAACTGATGATGCTGATTTGAAATAATTAAGTTCATGCATTGCCTTAGTCATCACCGTTCCAATTCGGTAGAAACATGACACAAGCGGCAAGTCGCAAATGGAAGCGAAAATCTGGTTCATAATCAAAGGTATCTGTAGAATTTATTGACGACAAAAATTAGATCTCCAGTCTGAATCAGTTTAATTCTTTAGTAGGCAATCGTACCCATGGACACAACTGAGAGCTCAATACTTGACTGAGAATTCGTTCAACAAACTCGGTTAAATTAAGCATGATTGAGTGGTCTCGAGGCACAGTAGGCTACAAATGAGTGTGAACAATTCGATGCTTAGTGATTTCGCTAGTCGAGACAAAATTGCACGTATTGTATGACGTACTGAATACCCTGTCGCATCCCTCCCTATTTTTGTCGTCTGTGAATCAAACTGATACGAAAGATTAAGCTTCCTTATTATAGCAAGTACGTGCTTGACGGTGGAGTCGAGGATGATAGCCTGCAATGTGCGGTCAAACTTTTTGAGTTCTATCCTCTGAACATCGCCGCTGCCAGCTTCTGTTGGTATACATGGTATGCCCACAACTCTTTCTGAGCGAAGACGTAGGAAGTTCAACCAAAAACCTTCGTACTCGTATATAAGATTTGTCACCAGCTCGCCTGTACCTGGATGATAAATGACCTATCGTAGATAAAGAAGGTGTCAGATACACTGCATTACAATGAAGATTTGCTACATTTGGATACCGTACAGCTTGATCTGGATCTGTGATGTCTGCTATACTGAACAATAAAGTGTGATGGACGAATTGATCAACGACAGGGTCAATCACGGTCCACTTCGATAAAGAAACAAAAAGTGCAGCAATCGACTTGTGCACCACACTTTTTGACTTCAAAAGACATTGGGGATAAGCTGTCATAAGATGGCATAGAATTCTTTCTAAAAACATGATGTAGCCTTCATCAAGCACGACATCGGAACGCTTCGATTAAGGAGCATTGCAGAGACTATTAGCGCGCACACTATGATCTATTAGCATTCAGGCAAGCTCACATGTTGCACAAACTGTCCGATGCATTGTACATACTGACAAATGAGGGACCACTTCCATGCTGTCGTTTTCGCATCCAGTGCCAAAAGAGACTCTCCATATACTCTCAGCTTGTCTTCGATCTTGATGTATCCTTTTGCTCCAAGATACGTAAAAATCGATGAAGCAAACCAACCCAAGCATTGCAAGGCAAATGTGATTGCTAATGTACTAGCGCCAAAATCGCTTATAACAGGAAGAACCTCCTTCAATACTTTATTCAGACATTTTTTTCGCATGTCATCTTTTGCTTCAGCCAAGTACGAATTCAACACCTGCAAAATCGAATTTGAGCACTCAAATGCATGTTGCTTGACCTGCCAAACAAACAGGATATATGTTAGTGATTCTACACACCTTAAAAAAAAATATGTAGTGAATCACGTACAGTCTTATTGTCGCTAAGACAGCAAGATTTCATGTACGAAAACCACGCCAAGCTATTTGGGCCAATCTCCTCGTGAAATACTTGCGCATGCTTTTCTAGAAAGTGTTCAGCCGAATTTGTCACTTGATAGCGCGAGAGATTGCCATTTGTGGTCGTCGCAAATATCGTTAGCAGGTACCTACACCGAAAAACACAAAGTAAGTATGTCACATGACTAACCATCATCTCCCACATCATAAAACCACCAACTCACGAGTACACTTTCTTCCGCAAGGCGTCATTCTGCTTGTATCTTCCTGCGTCACACTTAAGAAGACGGGCCAATGCAAATAGTAGCCCATTCACAATCATCATCTCGGGTGAGGTGCTTAAAAATTGTTTCTCCAATTCGTGTTCAATCCACCCTAGCAGAGGCGATACAGTTTTCTTCAGCTCTGCAGAAAACTTTTCCACCAAATATCCAATAACCTTCAGCATTTGCCCCTTTACAGTTTGCGCCGCTTTAGAATACTGAATGTCGTAGAACAACTTCTCTACGTAAGCTCGAGGCTCGATCTCATCACTAGTCGTGTGTTTGTGTGCATATTTCAGCGCGTTAACGACTACCTAAGAATCGCAATGTTAAAGTCAGCAAGTGAGCTAGGTTTTGAGTAAATAATGTTGTCTACATTTAGTGCTTGAGCTTTGACTCGATTGAACGGATCAGAACGCGCCGTCTGCTGACAGACCTTATACAAATCTATCACATGCTGCTTCGAGAGAGCGCTGTGTGCGCCGTAGACCTTAAGAAAGGCGGATAGCAATTCGAATACGCCGATTCTGGCAGCTGAAATCTCACGCTTACGCGCACCGTCCGTGAACTCGGCACTGGTGCTCAAAAAGCGCAAGAGACTAGGCGGTTCTGCGCTCTGGAACAAAAGGATCGTACACTGCTGCGCTGAAGCCCTCGATAATATCATAGCTTCTGACACCTCCAGCCGCAGATGACTTAACGTCTCATCAATACTTTCTACTGCTTGTGCATGCAGAAGAAAAGCTGTCAACTCCTCGAGCCGCTCGTTTAGCTTGGTCGTCATGCTTCAACTGGCAAAGAAACCAAGCGAACGGTTCAGGAACGGGCTCAACTGGAACCGAATTTCCTTTCCCAAATCGGTGAAATCACGACACAAAAGCTCAACTTCAAAGTCACTCAGATGTGTCTGTAGCCAAACTACTACCTGAAAGTACCAAAGTACTGGTACAGATACAGATGATGGGTTGCTGTGCAGAGGAAGCTTTGACTCAAAGATTCTGTGCGTATATATATGTAAGTACGCTTTGCTCGAATATTTCAAAGGTGACCAAAATTAAGGATTAATTTTAGCAAAACAGTATAAAATTTTACTCGCCTTCAGGACGCACCGAGGGCAAAACGAGCACCACAAAGTTGTTCCTCGGACGCTTCTGACCCCATGGGTCAGAGCTCGTCAGGAGTACCGCCTACACTTAGAAATCGATGAGGATGATACGTCAGGTACTGTAAGCTGGATTTGTGCACTGGGTGAGAAAGACACGTCGTCACACCCGTCTCATAACTTAACGTGTCAGCTTCACGTCCGATTAAAGCGCCGCTTAATGCTTGACTTTGCGAAATTTGAAGCACAGCGTGGACATCGAGGTGGAAACTCAATATCTCTGATGCTTTATGTTGACAGATCGCCCATCTCCACGACACGACTGCTACAGCTACCGATCAGAACTGTCAACTAGGTCGGTCATCACTCTCTGCAGAGCACGCTGAGTAGGGCGATCCTCGTTATTTTCTAAAAAAAAATAAGCCGAGTGTGTGGTGATTCATAATGATTAACGACGCCAGGATAATCTTGCATCAGTAAGACTCAAATCTCCATCGTTTTTTGGAGTTAAAGTATCCCTATTACTTCTCAAAGCATCGTTAACAGCTAAGATGCACATGTTTTTTTTAGTGCGTGCTCTAAGTTATGCAATGAATTACGTAGAAAAACACAGGGATTGTCCTTAGAGCATACCATGACTAGGCTCAGAGCCGTATCGGTGCTTCGAAGCAGAGAGAAGATCAAATATCGGAATAATCGAGACGATTTGCCATCTCTAGCAGCGCCCTTCACACGACATTTTCATGTGTGTTGCCCGCTTCAGGCGTCAGCATATTAACCTCCTGGCTCTCAGTCATGGCGGCGCACACTCGGTGCAAGACACATAATCTATCAAAATTAAATCTGTGACCTTGCTACAAAGTGTTGCCGGTCAAATATCAGCGAATCAACTTGATTAAATATAGCGCCTCTTCACCAAAGAACAGAGCCACTTAGTGGCGGTATCAAAGGAACTTGGGGGTAACCAACCATAAATAGGGTCAAGCCTGTGAACGTATGCACTGCGTTATTTAACGCAACTCAGCGAATGAAGTAAACCCGTTCTAACAACGCGGTCTCTACACCCAAGTACTTTGGAGGATATCCCCCCACTACGTAATTGTTTCTAACCAACTTTGTGGATGGTTACATCTGGACATGTCTTGTTTGATGCTTATCACGTCGAACAAAGGTCGCGAAATTTACTGAAAACGCGGATTTTCAACCGACACAATGACTACCAGCAAGCCGTGTTGGCAAACGCCACAGTCGAAGATCGACTTTGCACTGAATTTATTCCTTGGTAGCAGCGATATAGCTCAGCCAGCCCGCAAAGTCCACAATGCCGGTATATACAGAAGTGTCTTTGGGGACTCTATTTTCTAAAGCTGCAAGCACTTTGTCGAGACCGACAGGCTGAACAAAGGGATCAGCCCATGCGGCGAGAAATTTACGCGCTGACACGTTTCACTCGTGCGGTCGTATCTGCTTAGTCACTTATACAGGTTACACCACCAGTATTTAGCGCTCCCTGAGCATTGTGTCTTTTCAATTCCAAGACGGCTACCTTATTGCACTAAGAGATCATTTTAAGGCACCACCATACGTTGAGTCAGTGCTGTAATCATTGGGAGAAGCTTTACCTTTTCAAATGTGTGTGATGCTTCTGCCTTTGACATAGCCTGTGTTCTAAACCTAGTAGATGCCAATTAGTGTAAATGTGTGATGGCGTTTAAGTCTTGCGAGAATCAGACGTATAGCGGCAGCGTACAACTATCTAGTCTTCGAAAAATAGTTCCTGTTTTAAAGTATGCGCTTGTCAGAACTTAGGTTGCACTAACGTGGCTCTAAACCATTTGTAATTTACACAGAAAATGCGTGGTTGTGCCTTGCATAACTATCATGAATCCTTTTTCTTTGCCAAGTATCCTTTCGATGTAAAGGATAAGGCAGACCGGCTTGATTTGGTCCTGGCACGATGCTGACGTCGACAACTGATGAGGCAATACGTTCAGCGTTGGGGTCAGGTGCAAAAAGTGTTGTGCTGCTTAAGCAGGTAAATTTGATAAATAATGTGCCACTTGGTCAAAATCTAATGGCCCATCTGAAATCAGAATCGATGAACAGAACAGAGTTCCTTTCGCAGCCTTAAAAACAGCTTCTTCTGCCGCTCTTCAGCATCTTTGTCATCGCTTTGAATTGAACCGTTATATGTCGGCATAATTTGCACTCGACTTGTACAAGCTGTCGGCCAGGTCGTCTACTCCTAAAATTCTTTCTAAGCCAGAGGCAATGGCCAGTTCACGACAAACCATGATCCTCGAGGGATCTGCCTGTCTCAATGAAGCAACACAGATATGGATGCTCGTCGACGTCAAACAGTCACATATCTGTTTAGCGAACAGCTTAGCGGCGCCCTTACATTCGAGCACTGGTCGCAAGTGCTTAAATTGCTTTTTACATGCTCCAGTCGAAGAAAGTGATATTTAGAATTGAAGTGAGCTTGAAATGATAATATATATAGGGAGTTGATATATTCACTCACTTTTCGGTTATATTCACTCACTTTTGCTTGTACACCACTTTTTGGTTATATTCATTCACCTGCCCGTACAGCGCCACTCACCTTCACTCACCTGCCAGACTTGCCAGTACTGTACTGTACAGTAAAATCCAGTGGCACTTACCACTTTCTCATCTGCCAGTACACTACAC